GGGCCTGTAGCTGAACCCCTCTCGGGACTGTGCCACTGGTCACCTACTTCACAAATCCACACTAATAAGACCGGGAGACGTAGGAGCTTTGCTTAATACATAGAAACAGACATGGAAAGGCAGCCAAAATGGGAAGACAAGCAGAAACCATAAGAGAGAACAGAACAGAGATCCAGAAATAATGGTGTCAAGAAATCTAACAGATGCAGAGTTCAAAACACTGGTTATGAAGATGCTCAATGAACTTTTGGGAAGTGTAGATAAATTCAGTGAGAACTTCAACAAAGGAATAAAAAAACATAAAAATGGAAATAGAAATTATAAAAGAGAACCAGTCAGAAATGAAGAACACATTATCTGAGATGAGAAGTATATTCAAAGGAATACACAAAGTGAATAAAGAAAAGGATCAAACGACCTATCTAGAGGACTGGAAAGCCAAGGACACAAAATCAGAATGGCAAGAGATAAGATGCCAAGACTATAAAAATAATTTAAGGAGCATATGGGACACTATTAAAGGTCAAAATATCCATGTCATCAGGGTACCGAGGGAAAACAAGATACTGAACAGCTATTTGAAGAAATAATGATGGTAAACTTCCCTCACCTGGTAAAGGAATTAGACATAAAACCCCAGGTATGTCAGTGAGTCCCAAGAACCAGGTGAACCCAAAGAGGCCCACACCAAGAAACATTAAAATGCCAGTGGATAAATACAAAGAGAAAAATCGACGTGATGAAAACCCAAGATCTACAACCAAGAATTCTTTATCCAGCAAAGCTATCATTTAGAGTTGAAGGACATATAAAGAGCTTCCTAGACAAAAATAAGCTAAAGAATTTATCAACACCAAGCCAGTAATACAGGAAATGTTGGAGGGACTTCTTTAAGAAGAAAAAAACATGTATCAAAAACAGGAATAAAGAATGCTAACAACTACATTCCTATCAACAAGTATCTCAAATGGAAAAGAATTGAAGGGACTGAAAGGATAAGAAAACAAGATCCCTACATGCTGCCTACAAGAGACTCAATTCAGATTAAAAGACACACAGACTAAAAGGAAGGGGATAGAAAAAGATATTGCCTTGATGGACCTAGAAAGTATTTAAGTCAGACAGAAAAAGATAAACACTATATGATTTCACTTATATGCGGAATCTAAGGAATAAAAAGAATATATTAATCAAAAATGTTCTCAAATATGGACAATTTGGTGATGGACAGGGGAGGAGGGGTTGGGGGACTGGGAGAATGAGGTGAAGGATTAAAGAAGTAGAAATTAGTAACTGATGAATGGTCACAAGGATGGGGAGCATGGCCTAGGGAATGCAGTTATCATTAATATGTTGGCTGGATGAAGGGTCAGGAGACGGAGGGAGCAATTGAGATCGTTTTATGAACTATATAGATATTTAACCAATGTACTGTATAATTAAACAAATTAAAAAAGAAAATGGAAGAAACCTACTAAAAAGAATTCAGGATTTGCAGTTCCCCTCCCCTAAGAAAGAACTGAGATATGAAGTCAGATATTGTGTTTATAAGTTGCTTGGATTAGTTCTCTCTTTTTAAATCCCCTCTAGTGTAGATTTGGTATTCATTTTAAATGTACTTGGGTTCATTTTCAGTTTGCTTTTAACATTTCGTTTTTTCCGTCTTCACATTCTTGTTGATTTAATTTAATTTGAATATGGAGAGCATCAACATGCTCCCAAAAGTCAAAACTATACAAAAGGGCATATTCAGAAGAAGCGTCACATGTTCCCGAGTCCCTTCCACCCTGTTCCCCTCACCCCTTCTAGGTAACCAGCTTCATTGCTTTCTGGTTTATTTGTCCCATGTTCCTTTTTGTAAAGACAAATAGGTATGTGTATATTTTCTTATTTTCCCTTTTTTCTTACACAAATGGTAGCAAACTATATGCTCCTCTGCACTGTGCTTTTTTTCATTTACCATTATGTCCTGAAATATCACTCCACGTCAGTTTACACATGTGTTTATACATAGTTTTCAATCAGTCTTCTATACTTGGATATTTAGGTATTTTCCAATATTTTCCAATAATGCTCTAGACATTAACCTTGTGTGCATTTATTTCATATTATTGAAAATGTATCTTCAGGATAAATTCCTAGAAGTAGGATTGCTCCATTTATTAGACTGCTTGGGCTGCTATGACAGAATATACTACAGACCGAGTGGGTTATACAACAGAGATTTATTTTTTACAGTGCTGGAGGCTGGAAGTCCAAGATCAAGGTGCTGGCAGGGTTGGTTTCTGGTGAGACCATTTTTTTCCTGGCTGCCAGACAACTGCCTTCTTGCTGTGTCCTCACATGACCTTTTCTCTGTGTGCATTTGCTCCCGATATCTCTTCCTCTTTTTATAAGGATACCAGTTTTACTGGATTTAGCCTTCCTTGACACATTTAAAGCTGATTGTCCCTTAAAGTGCTTTCATTAAATGAGGCAATTTGGGCTGATCTATAGAATCACATAACTTCTCCAGTTGTAAAAATAGCTCAATCTCCATTAACACTTAACAAACGAATAATCTCTTAACTTCTGTTGCCAGGGCAAAAATTAGGCAATCCTAGGCAAAACAAGTGTACTATGTGAGCTGTCTGCATTTGATAAATACATTTCTCTGCCTTTGGGGTGGTTCCTTAGTCCAAGGATCAGATTATTGGATAAGAACTTAGAATTCAAAGATAAAATTCCTGCTTCACTCCTGTTGAAGGAGAATATTCTCAACTTTTAAAAATTTTTATTTGCAGAATAAATGTAATGGAATTTGAGATCTACTTACCTTTGAAAAGGGATTCATGATCTGATATGGGACTGGTATCAGAATATGTAAGGAATTCTTATAACTCAGTTAAAAGACAGAAAAACAGGCAAAGGATTTAAACAGATATTTCTCCATAGGAAATGTACAAATGTCCAGTGAGGACGTGAGAAGATGTTCAGCATCACAGGTCAATAGGGAAATGTAAATCAAAACCTGTATGAGATACCACTTTGCACCCACTAGCATGGCTATAATAAAATTAAAAAGGAAAGTGTTGGCAAAGATGTAGACATTGTTGCTAGGAATGTAAAATGGTTCAGCTGCTGTGGAAAACAGTTTGATGGTTGCTCAAAAAGTTAAAGATAGAATTACTACATGATCCAGCAATTTCACTCTTAAGTATATACCTAAAAGAATTGAAAACATATGTCAGCACAGAAACTTGTACATGGATGTTTAGAGCAGCATTAATCATAATAGCCAAAAGATGGAAACAATCCAACTGCCCATCAAAAGATGGATGGATAAACAAGTTGTGTTATATACATGCAATGGAATATTATTCAGCCATAATAAGGAGTGACATACCAGTACATGATACAATTTGGCTGAACTTTGAAAACATGCTAAATGAAAGAAGCCAAACCAAAAGATCGTGTATTATATGCTTCCTTTTATATGCTGTATCCAGAATAGGAAAATCCAAAGAAACAGAAAGAAATTAGAAGTTATGAGGGGATGGGAGATGGAGGTGAGGAATGGGGAGTGGTATTATTTAATGATTCTGGAATGTTTTTATGGGATGATGAAAAAAGTTTTGAAACTAAAGTGAGCACAACATTGTGAATACTGTAAATACCATTAAATTGTACAGTTTAAAATGATTAATTGTTAAATGAATTTCGCCTCAATTTTAAAAAGGGGATATAAGTATATTTCTGAATATATATGTATTTTTGTTTCCCAGAGAGAAAAGTTTTAAAGTGCAAGGAATGATGATGCCAGAAAAGGATGAACATATTTGATGTGGAAACTTAGTGTCTAGATAACTCTCTAGATTCATTTTTCACTTGTCTCTTTGCTTGGGAGAATTTATTCTTAACACAAAGTATTTTACCTGAAAATACCGCAGTGTCTGCAAAGATAGAAATCATGTTTTTTAAAGAGTATTATGAAGAGTTTATTCTTTGTGGAAGCCCATAAGAGGTCCAATTGCTCTGGAACTAACATAACTGATAAGGAGCAAAATATATCTTAGAACCTATATTTAGATGGTATTCTTTTTTCCCTGACTTGCCATTCTATATGGCTACTAGTTTTTTTTTTTTTTAATCTAGATGAAATTTACATGACAAAATTAACTGTTTTCAAGTGAATGATTCAGTGGCGTTTAGTGCATTTATAGTGTTGTACAGCTACCAGCTCTATATTGTTCCAAAACATTTTAATCACCCAAAAGGAAATCTTGTACCCATTAAGCACATCCCTGTTAGCACGTGTTATTTTCCTAATTTTTTATTGTAACCAGCCTAAGGGGTATGAAATTGTATTTCATTGTGGCTTTGATTTACATTTCTCTAAATGACTAATGAAATTGAACATCTTCTTGTATTTTTTGGCCATTTTGTGTTTCTTCTTTGAAGAAATGTCTACTTAAGTCTTTTCTAGTTTTTAAATTGGGTCCTTTGTCTTTTAGTTGTTGAATTGTAAATGTCCTTTATATGTATATACTAGACTCTTATCAGATATATGACTTACAAATATTCCATTCTGTAGGTTGTCTTTTCACTTTCTTGATAGTGTCCTTTGATATATAAAAGTTTTTAATTTTGATAAAGCCTAACTTATTTATTTTTCTTTTGTTGTCCTTACTATTGGTGTTATATCTAAGAATCTATTGTCAAGTCCAAGGTCGTGAAGATTCCCCTATTTTTCTTCTAAGAGTTTTATGGTTTTAGCTTTTATATTTAGGTCATTGATACATTTTGATATAATTTCTGTATATAGTATGAGGTAGGGGTCCAACTTTATTCCCAGCATCATTTGTTGAAGAGGCTCTTCTTTCTCCATTAAGTTGTTTCGGCACCCTAGTTGAAAATCAATTGGTCATAAATGTGTGGGTTTATCCCTGGACTCTAAATTCTATTCCTACCATTTACTTTTGTGTGAACTGAGTTTCTTGTTTTTCTCCTTTCGATAACAGGATCATGGAGTTGATAGCAGCATTTTCCAGAATCCCAAGAAACTTCATCTAACTATAGGGATGTTAGTGCTTTTGAGTGAGCAAGAGATCCAGCAGACATGTGAGATGCTACAGCAGTGTAAAAATGAATTCATTGAGTGAGTATCCACAAGAGTGGGGAAGGGTAGTCACCCATACTGGCTTCTTTTTGGTATCACAGACTTGTTTTAGGACTAGAGAGTTGGGTGACATGGGAACAAGGTTTGTTGACTCACCCATTTGTAACACTTAACGTTGAACCATTGTCTGAAAGGTTTAAAATGGATTTAAAGCATATATTTACAAATTTTTTTGGAAAGCCTCTACCTTACATTATATTAGTTCAGTAGGCAAATTTTGTTCTTTACTAGGACATCCCATTATTTTCTCCAAGGGGAAGTTCTCTTCATTATCTATTGAAGAATATAGGCTGCAGTATTAGTTTTCTGTGCTGCTTTTAACACATTACTGCAAGCTACTGATGGCTTAAAACAATACAAATTTATTATCCTACAGTTCTGTGAGGTAGAAGTCTGATATGGGTTTTACTGAGCTAAAAGTAAAGTGTTGACAGGGTTGTGTTACTTTCTGGAGGTTCTAGGGAAGAATCTATTCCTTTGTCTTTAAAGTGCAGCGTCTAGAGGCTACTCACCTTCCTTGGCTAGTGGCCCCCTTCCTCTGTCTTCGACACTAGCTACGTTGCATCTTTCCGACCCTTCTTTTGTCACGTCTCTCTCTCTGGCCATAGCAGGGAAAGGTTCTCTGCTTTTAAAGACTCTTGTGATTTGATTGAATATACCCAGATAATCTAGGATAATCTCCTCATCTCAAACTCCTTAATCTTAGTCTCATGTACAAATGTCTCTCTGCCATGTAAGGTAGCACATTTACAAATTCCATAGAGTAGGACGTGGGCATTTTTGGAGAGCCATTATTCTGCTTACCACAATAACTCAAACATTATAAAATGATTCCCTAGGAAAATCTTCATTGTTTTTCAGAAACGTGGACTTTAATTTTCTTTTTCTTCTTCTTCTTCTTTTTTTTTTTAATATAGGCAGTTTTGTGTGAGTCATTGTGAGGATACCGAAAACTATCCAAGCAATCTGTTTTGGCTCAGGGAAAATGTTGCTGTTCTGGGGACAGAGTTGTTATTCTTTTTACTGTAAAATTTAAATTTATACATACATCTAACTTACGAAGAATTTTCTCTTCCTTTCTCTCCCTTTACTCTTTTCAGGATTAATAAAGAACAAGAGAAATTTTAAAACTAACTCACTTGAATAATCTTTTAAAAAAATCAATTATAATATTTAAGTCCCATCCTATTCTAACATGGTCTTGTAGAAATGAGTTACTTGGTTGATTGGGTAAAACAAGATTAAAAGATTAAAAATTTTTTCTCTCTAGTTATGTTGTATTTGACACTGTGTCATGTGATGACTAATTTGTGGACCACATCTCCCTTTTCCATTAATTGTTTTGAACACAACATATTTTTCTTGACCAGAATTATGAGCCGATTGGGTTTGCAGTCTGCCTATTCTTTCTGAATCTCAAACAGCAAAGAATTCTTCTTTGTCTTGTTTGCTTAGTGATCGCTATGACTGTTTTCTCTCAATTTTACCTGAAATTTAAATTAATTTGGTGTTCGTAATTAGATACATACAATTTTCCTTACATAAAAGAAAACTTTAAGCTTTGTCTTACACAGTAGAGCAGTTTAACCTGGTTTAAGAATCATTTCTGATACTTTAACTTGTTCCCAGATCACTTTTTGCTAAATGAAACTGAAAGCAACTTCATTTTCTTGGCTGCCATTGGGATAATCCTGCTAAGGAAAAATTTAAAGGTAGATAAATTTAGGGAAGCATTTTTTTTTTATCTTATGAAAATCAGGTCCCAGTTTTTAATCACTGAAAGTTTACCATGAGCTGCGTGAGGATTTAGTCTCTCTTTTATGTCTCTTGGTGCTTTTTGTGACTAAATGCCAAATCTGAGCCTTTTAAGCATGTCGGAGTTGGTGTGCATAGGCAATGAAGAGCAGCCTTAATAGTTCCTAAGAATTTTTGACATGACAGGATGAAAACAGTAATTGTAGTTTTTCAAATTCAGCAAAGCTTTTGAAATAGGATGAAGTTACCCTGCCAGAAATCTGCAATGCAGGCAAATTTTTTTTTGAGCAAGCTTTTTTAAAAAAGTTGGGAAGATTTGAAACCATTAAAACAAGCCTCTGAACCCTCTTCTCTCACCTTCCCTTCTGCTACACACACTTGTTTTAAAATTGTATAATGCAAAATTAATTTATTTCTGAGAAGGAGGATGAGAGAATCAGACTTGGCTATTTGGATTGGTTAGGAGTGCCTTGTTTCCTTAAAAGGAAGAGATGTCTCCAAAAAAAGGAAGGAAAGAAGGAAGGGAGGAAGGGAGGAAGGGAGGAAGGGAGGGAGGGAGGAAGGAAGGAAGGAAGGATACTTATAGCTCTCAAAAATAAAATGTGTCATCTAACTTTTTTTCTTTATTCTTGCTCTTTGATCTTAGTGTTTGTACTTGATATACTTCAATAAACAATGGCATTTCTGACCTGAACTTTTTATGACTTAACAATCCCAAATTAAAATATAAAAAAATGAAAACATTGAAAATGAATCCTAGTACATAATATGCTGTGGTTTAATTTGATAGCTTTTTAAATGAAAATATTAATGTGGCTATTTTGGAATTTAATTAAAACTGTGGTGCTATATAGATATTTTAAAGAAATGCATAGTTGAATATATATTTTTTTAAATTTGGGGGTGGTTTTTGAATTTAAGTATGTCATCTAATGAGAAACAACTTTAGTTGCAATTTGTAGGCTAAAGGCTTAATGTAGCTGTATAGATTTCGAATAAATTATTCACAGTGTTCAGTAAACCCTAAAGCTCTGAATGTGTCCCTTGTGACTTTTCTTTGTGAGATGTAGAACACGAACAGTGCAGTGGCTCTGAGTATACAGTCTGATAAATATGCTTTACTTCCATAGCTCCAATATCACTCTACTTGTACCCAAGTGTTCCCAGTAGGTCTGAGGTTAAACTAAATAAGTTAAAAAAGAGATAAGGAGGAGAGAAGAAGAGGAAATATACCCATGAATAAATATTAGTTCCTAATTGTTATCTTAGATGTTGCTCAATTGAAAAATGTGCTCACTGGTATCCCAGGTGGGGAATAGTTTGGTCACCAAGACAAAAAGCATTTATCAGGCAAACCATTGGATTTCTCTTCTGCTCTTTAATCTCCCTCTTGATAAACCCTAGGAATAGGTTGAAAGAGTTTCTGTTTCTACTTGCTAGACAGGCTGTGGATCCTGTTTCATTGTTTCAATTTTTTTGTTCTTGGCACCCTAGCTAATTCCAAGGATTTGAGGTAGTTTATAGTGAGGACATATATACAAAAGAAATATTAAAGTTGGAGAGCCTAGAAACTGTAAAGATCTAATGGGGAGAAAATTCTACCTGAAAACTAAGGTAAGATCATTATACTTGATCATTAAAATTTAGCGCCATTTTCGAACACCAGTATACTTGAACTAAATTTCAAAAAGAAACACAGCAGTTATTATAGTTCTTATATGATAAAAAGGAGCATAATATTTTTTAAGGAAGAATCTTTTTCTGGTTTTCAATCTAAGAAAAACTTACATAAATCTTAAGTAACCCAGAATGATGATGAGCAGTGTCTTCAACAAGAGTTTTGTAGAAGATACAAAAACATTGTTCACATGGCTCTTTCTGCAGTGATCTCTAGAAATTGAGGGTGTAACATTAAATATTAACTCAGTAAAAACATTTTAGCGGGACACTAAACGAATGGTATGATGCTTTCTGGTGATCTAACTATGCAGGATTAGAGCTGAAAAATGTAGAGGAATGTATGGTTAATATTGAACTTTTTTTTGTTCCAAATAAATTTTATTGACTGCACTTCGATAATATCGAATGGCAGTTGTTCATATGAATTCTTTGGCTATTAGAATGGAGATAAACTGTATTGTTGATTGAAGAAGCTACAGGCCTCAGATAATAGTTCAGAGCTTGGCTTGTGTTTTTGGAATATCCCACTTATTAGAAGTGGCTACAGGAATACTTATGATCAAGGCTATAATTTTTTCGATCAAATATCTATCTAAAATAGTTCAGTTATTTAGTTTCTTACTGAGAAAAATTCTGGTCTTGTGCAATAACATGACCTTGAAGTTTTAAGCAAATGTTTTCCATTAGGATTCCTAAGCTTCAAAGAGTCTTTTATGGCCTTAGTTTAATATCAAGAGAGGTTTTTTTGGAATTGTCTTTTGGTATATACTAGCATCTTTTTGTCTTTGAGCTGATAAAATGTTATTTTATTTAATAACAATATAGACATGTATCCACATTCTTCTCAGAATTGTCCAGAACAGCATCTCCCTTTATAGCAGAATATCCAGTCAATGTTTTCCAGAGATTTATGGAGTTCCTATTTTATATAAGGCACTGTGCCAGGTGCTGGGAATATAGGAGTGATCAACATGGATAGAGTCCCAGGCCTCATGGGGCTTGGAGAAGGCTGTGTGTGGTGACCTATTTTTAGTTGGGTTTCAGCCTGGCACAGCAAACTCTTTTCTGGTTGAAGTATAAGTCTGTTTAAGATGTCTAGGAAGAAAGTAGGATGGTGGTTTTTACATAACATAAAAGTAGTACATGTTAACTTTAGAAAGCTACAAATTGCAGATAAACAACAATATCACCAGATATCTTACCATCTAAAGATAATTACCGTTAATACTTTGGAATATATACTCCCATACTTTTTAATATGCATATGTATATTTTTTCTTTGAGGTATAATTTACTTAGAGTAAAATGCACAGATCTTCAGTGTACTTGATGAGTTTTGACAAATGCATACACCCATGTAACCACATCCAAATCAAGATGTAGAACATTGCCCTCACCTTATGAAGTTCCTTCATACCCTCTTCAGTAAATTCACTTACTTGAAAAGTAAATATTATTCTGTTTCTGTTCCCATAGATTAATTTGGCTTGTTCTTTAATGTTGTATGTATCGAAGCATTCAGTATATACACTTCTGTGTTTGGATTCTTTTGCATATGTAAAAACAATTTTAGCTTTTTAATGAATAATACATTTACATGGTTCAAAAATTAAAGGTGCGGAGGATATGCACAAGAGTTTCCTTCCCACTGCTCTCCCATCAAGCACCCTGTTCTCTCTAAAAGTAACAGATATTAGCAGTGTTTTTGTATCCTTTCAGAGATTTTATGCATGTACAAGCAAATATATGTATAAATAAATTTTCTTACCCCCATATTTTGCATAAATAGTAGTATAGTAATGCACATTGTTGTGCACCTTTATTTTTTAAACTTAAAAAAATAATCATTACGTATTGGTACCTGAAAAGCTTCCTTAGTCACGTATAGCTTATTTATTGCTCATAGTATTTTGATTTATTCATTCAGTCCTAAATTATTGGACATCTAGTCTGTTGCCAATCTTTTGCTACTCTAAACAGTGCCTCAGTCAGACCTCATTGCATCATAGCAGGAGGCACATATTGTTTTGGTTGTTTTTTTTGTGTGTGTGTGTGTGATAAGCATCATCAGTGGGTTTGGGAGTGGTCACCCTTATCCATTGTTTTGTTTGTTTGTTTGCTTTGCTTTTTACCTTAGAATAGTCTTTTTAAAAGATTTTTATTAAAATATAGCTAACATATAGTATTATATTAGTTTTAAGTATACACCATGGTTATTCTATGTTTATATACCTAAAGAAGCGATCACTGTAAATCCAGCAACCATCTGACACCATACAATGCTATCACAATATTATTAACTATATTCCCTATGCTGTACTTTACATCTCCAAGACTTGTTTTATATCTGGAAATCTGAATCTCTTATTCCCCTTCTCCCACCTTAAAAAATTTTTTTCAATTACAGTTGACATTCAGTATTATTTTTTATTAGTTTCAGGTGTACAGCATAGCGGTTAGACAAATATATAATTTACAAAGTGATCCCCCTGACTAGTCTAGTACCCACCTAACACTATATACATAGTTATTACCATATGATTGACTATATTTCTTATGCTGTACTTTACATCCCTATGACTATTTCATAACAACCAATTTGTACTTCTTAATCCTTTCACTTTTTTAACTCAGCCACCTAACCCCTCTTTCATTTGACAACTGTCAGCTTCTTCCCTGGACCTACGAGTCTATTGCTGTTTTGTTTGTTCATTTGTTTTGTTCTTTCAATTCCACATATAAGTGAGATCATATGTTCATAGAGCTCTCCCTTGTTGGGATCTCTTTATATTTTCTTTAGCCTTTTGCCTAAGTTGTAGCAGCCATTGGTGATCTTGCCTAGATCTGTTATTTTATCGGGGGTTATAAAATGGTGATATTCTAATTCCATCATTACTTCTGCATTTATCACTTGGAATTCTTCTGTAAAGAACTTTCCTTTATCAGCTGTCCTTGGATATTTAGCTGAATTCAAAATTATTTTCCTAGGGTTAGCTCCTAGACATTTAATTGTCTGGGTAAAGGATTTCTCTTCTTGAAGGCTTTTTCTAAATATTGTCAAATTGTTCTTAAAGATGTTATATCAGCTTACACTTCCACCATTGTTATAGAGTGAATACAGCTTGCAACTTATAGAAATAATGATGTATAACCTCAGAGATGGGCCACTCAGAAGTTGTCTCTGTCAATGAGAACCTTCATGTCATTGCTTAGCTTTTTCTCAGAGAGTGCTAGTGTGATTTTGGAAATACTAGTGTTTCTAGTTTTTGTGTATTCAACATGTATTAATTTTGAAATTAGAAAGATGACTAGATAATGCTGTTAGTAAAAAAAACCCAACAAAAAAGTTTGACTATGTATATTTAACCATGTCTTAAAATATAATAGCCCTTTTAGCTTAAATAAGTATAAAAAACTGTTTTTTTTCTTTGCAGTGACATTGCTGGGGGCAAACCCCTGGAAGTAGAAATGGAAGGGATAGAATACATGAACGATGATCCTGGCATGGTCGATGTTCTTTATGCCAAAGTCCATATGAAAGATGGTTCCAACAGGTATGTTTCTGGAATATGCCCTTGTTTTAATCAAGAGATGCCCAAAAGCATCCCTGGAAGTTCAGCTGGTTTTGATTCCTTCTCTTTGAGGCCTTAGAATTATAAAGAGTGTGTCAGTTCTTTCTATTTTTAAATAGTAAGCTGATATCTTGAAAGAAGAATTTGTTGTATGAAACAATATTAGACTTTTAGTCTGATAATTATCGAGTTACTTGGATGGAAGATATTGAGAGTAGCAATCTAGTTTCTGTGGAACTCAGTACTTCCTTAATTTTTTCCAGGATAATAGGAGGCAGGAAGGATGGCATTTTAGGATGATAGTTTCAAAAGTGAAACGATGCAGATCTAGTGACTACGTGGACAAAATGGTGATGATAACTATACAAACTTCTTAAGATTATTAAGATTAAATTAATCTATATAAAATGTGTAGAATAGTGCTTGGCACATACTAACATCATTAGAACATACATCAGGAAATGTTTACTATTTTTTATTTTTGTTTATTAACTTGTTTTAGGGATTTATTAACTTGTTTTAGGGATTTATTAACTATTTTAGGGATTCTCAGTCTGCAACCCAGGCTGTTTCCAAAACTAGCCTAGGCATCTAGAACTATTTCCAGTGTTAATGCCATTTGTTAATCCACTTGAGACCTGTGTGTGTGTGTGAGTGAATTAAAAATTAAAATTTTTTTTATATTAGTTTCAGGTATACAGTACAATGGTAGACATTTATATAATTTATGAAGTGATCCCCTCAATTACTCTCACATCCATCTGGCTCTGCACACAGCCATTACAGTACTATCGACTATATTTCCTATGCTGCACTCTACGTCCCCGTGACCATTTTGTAACTAGTAATTTGTATTTCTTTGGTGAGTGGAGGAACCCAACCTGAATTAGAAGTTTCTTTTTATGTAGTCTTTTCATTAGGGCAGGATGGAACAGAGCTCATATTCATTCAGAAACCTTTAGAGAAAATTCGTGTCTCCAGGCAGGCCCCCAATTGACTTGCTTTCCTAGAGGATCTCTTGTAAGGTCTCTCTTATCTCAATTTGAATTGATTATCTCAATTATCTCTAAGTTTAATTGGAAGTGAATTTTGAGAGAAAGGGAGGAAAAAAATGGTATAGAATCATTTTTTGTGTGTGTTCTGGACTAGATTTTTGTTTTCCTAGATACCTAGCATATGCCTAAAGGGCATACTAATAACCCCCCCCCTAAAAACTAGGGACACAGTGTTACTTAACAGTATCATATACTAGGACATCCCAAAACATTTTTACCAGGTTAAAATTTGATTCAACGTCATAACTATCCAAATACCTTCACCATGTTGTAAAACTACTACATATGGGGTAGATTACTTTTGAACTTTGTGAACAGAAACAATGAAGATAGTTCTGAAACTTTTTGGTCTTATAATCTCTTTAATTTCTTGAAAATTATTGAATACCACAAAAACCTTTTGTTTATATAGGTTATACCTATAAACATTTACTTGACTAGAAATTTAAACTGAGAAATTTAAGATTTGTTAATTTATCAAAAATAATAGTAATAAAATATTTTTTTAATATAAACGACATTTTCATGAAAAATCACTCTGTTTTCCAAACAAAAAAATTAAGCGAGAATATAGACATTGTTTTACATTTTCGTGTTTATAGAAGACGGCTGAGTTCTCATATCTGCTTCTCTGTTCAATTTATTTTGATGTGTTGTTTTGATAGAAGTGTATAAGAAAATCAGACCTCACTCAAAGATGTAGTTGGAAAATTGAGTAATGGCCTTTTCAGGTAATTGTTGATAAAATTTGACAGGTAATAGTTTCTTAAATGTCAGTTACAGTGTGAAATCTGAAACTATATCAATGAACATTTCACACTGTTACATTAAAATCCATTGATCTCTCTTGTACTTTGCCTGGATCTTTAACTCATGCATAATTTTGTAACATTGGTCATTTAGAAAATATTGTTTTACTGAGTTATGCAGATCCAAATGTTGACACATTTCATTATACAATATTAAAAAATACATGTTAATATCACTACTAATTTCATCAAAAATCTTGAAGTATTGAGGAGCTGTCAAGCTCATAGTGGCAGATAACATGTTTTCTGAAATTCAGACTTTCATCCGAAAGCTTAAATTTTTTTATTGGCAGAAAATACTGGTAATTTTTTCTTTGAAGTTTTTTTTTTTAATGTCTACAAAATAGCCAAGTCCAAATAACCATAATTTTTCTGGCAGTTGTTCTTTCAAGTAAAAATTTTGTTCCGTGGACAAAGAGGCTAGTTCAACTCACAACTCAGACAACCCCACAAGTGCTTTTACTCTAGACAGCTGTCTATTTCAAAACACAGCCCAAGTACTTTATACTATACTGTCAATTTCATCACACAGAAGATTAAAAAGACATGCATTCAAGGGCTTAGATTTAATAAAGTTATTTTTACTATTTCATCAAGGATAAATAAAACTGGCTCTTTTGATTTTAAAACTGTGACTGCGTAGTGAAGAATATACTAGTAGTAGTTTGATGATACTTGTCTTAATTTGTGGTAAGATGCCATCAGTTTTACCTGCCATTGCTTTTGTACCATCAGTGCAAATGTCATTGAGGTAAAAAAGGCAAATAATGTCATATAACTATTATAAAAATAGTTTTGACCTTCTGGACCCCCTAAAAGAGTCATCAAAGATTCATAGACCAGGCTGTGATCTAAGTAAGATTTTATTTCTAAAATTTAAGGTTGTATTGTTTCCGGGGAAATTATAACTAACTTTTGTTCAATTATAACTCTTGCCCGGCACTGTGCTTAGATTGTATTATCTCCATTTTATCTTCATATCTGTGTAAGATAGATACTCTTATGCCCATTTTATCAATCAGGGAGGTTCAGAGAGCTTAAGAACTTAATTAAGGAACCGATATAGAAAGCTCTGAACCCCTATGCCATAATAAAAGTTTTCAGTGTACGTATACTAGGCTGAGTAGGTTAGACTATGTTCCAATTTTCATTCCTAGAGTAAAATGGAAAATTGTGACCCACTTTTTTTGAAAGTGGTAAAATTCACATAACATAAAAAAAAAAAATCACCATTTTATCTATTTTAAAGTGTATAATTCAGGGTGTCAACATAAGAAGAACATCCAAACGTGTAGAGAGTTTTTATGAGTTTATTTGAGCCAAACTGATGACATTTGCCAAGGAACATGATCTCAAATGCTCCAGAGAATAACAGTTTTTTAGCTTCTTTTATGCATTGAGGGGATTGGATTATGGGATAGTTAACAAGATTATGTGTTCTCTTGAGAGTTAATACCCCCTCAGAGGGGTATTACTTCTGGTATTTCAAAGATGTATTAACCAAATGCACAATAACAGTGGACAGGGCTGGCTTAAAACCTTTCACTAAAGTTATGGACCTGGGGCATGACTACCCACCATGATCTGCCCAGTTAGGAATTTATGATCAGGTCACTTTGTGAGATTGCTTTCCATAGAACCCCTTTTTTCCATCCACACTGGCAACTACTAATCTATTAACTATATAGGTTTTCCTATTCTAGATATTTCCTATGAATGGAACTATACAACATGTGGCCTTTTGTGTCTGGTTTTCTTCCACATAATGTTTTCAAGGTTCATCCATGTTGTAGCATGTATTAGTACTTCATTCCTTTTTATGGACGAATAATATTCCATTGTATGGAGATACTACATTTTGTTTATCCATTCATCAGTTGATGGACATTTGAGTTGTTTCCATTATTTTGGGCTGACTCACTTTTTAAATGTATTAAAGATGTAATTTTAATTTCCTTGATTAACCTTGTAATTTTACAGAATACCATAGCCTCTCCGCCTGACTTCTGTTAATTTGTTAACTTATCTTCTGTTATGGTATTTACTTAATTTTTGTCAGAACTACTGTAAACCTTACTGTTGTAAGACTGATATCTGTAATATTCTTATAGACATGTGGTTAATGTGAAACTATGTGAAAATTTTACATGGGATTACTGTTAGGTCCAGGAGGGCCCTATCCCTACTTCCCCATAGTGTGGGAAGCAGACTTCTCCCTTACCTTTGTGTGGGAACCAGACTTTGCATGCGGGTTAGCAATGCTGCATGCTCACCTCCCGCTTCACTGGACTCTCCTTCCTTCCCCGCCAATTTACCCACCCCAGATGTTCCTGCCAAAAGGCCCGCCTGAAGCCCCATATAACTTTCAAGTCCCCTCACATTTGGGGCTGACGCCATCTTCTGCTTAGCCAGTCTTTCACTCTGCTATAATAAATCTTGTTTCACCCCTTCAGCCTTGTGTTTTCCTCCTTTGGTGAACTTGACAATTATAGTATTTCATAAAATAAAATAGTGAATATTTTCTAATTAAGGGCTTCAAGTCTTTTTTAACATATGTATGTCATAGACTCCGCAGTTTTAATTTACCCTATTCTTGGTGGCGTCCAAAGGGAAAAAGAGTGGTCAATGAGAAAGTATGATAAAATTATTACCTTGAGTGTTACCAGAGGATATGTTTCCCTTTTGCTTTAATAGTTAAACTCTGCATTTTTTTTTGAGATCTAAAAGAATATTTGGGAAGTATCGATTCAGGCAGAAATCCAAATATTTTTTTCCGGATTAGAAAGGCAAGGAAAAGGTAACAGTTACATCAATTGCATTATCAATTACATCAGTCAAAGGAAGGCATTTCTGTAGGTGCAGATATGCTAACATAGTGATGCTTATTCTAAAGAATGTTTTTAATTTTCAGTCCAGTAGTCATAATATCTGCTTTCCTGTTATCTTTGCAAACAGTTGTTTTGGATACAATGTTGCTTTAGGCTCAGCCTGAAGGTTATTTTGCAGTTTTAATGTTCCAAGGGTTTGAGGAGTTAGACGCTCAAGGCAATTCCTTTTGGGGTTATGGCAGCTCCCACTCCATTTTAAAGTGGCTCCATTTACATTATTTTTTACAGAT